ATACATCCTTATCCTATTTCCAGATGACACACATGAGGAGAGAGAGCTCATTCATCAGATGATCAGACTGAGATCCAAACAGCTCTCAGAAGGAACCAGAAGGATGGCCGGGAGCCAAGAAAATAAGATTTAACGATGATGCGTTCTACACTTAAGTTTGAGCAAAAGTCCGTGAACATTTAGAGGAGGCCTTTAAGCTCAGTGAGTTCTACTGGCAGCGGGAGGCAGCCCACAGCGGGGGTGGCGGCGAGCCATCTTTTTCCTTAAGGATGAGGAAAAGCTGTCTAATCTTGTGAAATGTCTGGCTGTGGGCTGAGCTTCCTTGTGAGGGCCATGAGTGCTCTGCCCAAGCCCCAGTGGCCAGCCATCCCTGTTGGGAATCAGATATAGGGGATTCTTGTCGAGAGGGAAGGGAAGGAAATGAACTTTGACTGACCGTCTATGTGACCAACACTTTGTCTACACTAACTTATTTAATCCTTGTGTCCCTGATTGGAGTCATCCTATTTCATTGATTCTAAGTCACATGTCCCCCACCCCACCCCTGCAATTTAACATCTCTGAGATTGGGGTGCGGAGTCTGATGCCATTTTACAATTGCTGTCAGCCAGGTGGCAGTCTCACTTGGGTGGTGGGGAACCCCTCTGTTGACACCTTTTGCTAAGATGGAGAAAGCAGCACAGACTCGGTTCAGGACAGGATCTGCCATATAGCAGAGGTACCAAGGCTCAGGTGCAATAACGTGACCCTCCCTCCCCCCAACACACACACAGCACTAACTTGCTGGTTCCAAATACTGGTTCCTAGACAAACTCCTCCTGAATCACCCACGAGGCTTAAAAACAACTGTGCGGTCTCCAGTAGATATTACAATTCTGTACATAGTGATGGGGCTCCTTCCCTGGGGAGTCTGATAGGTTTAACTTTCCCAGAGGATTCTGATCCACACGCAACCTGGGAACCATCAGACTTAAAATTTGGATGTTTCAGCACAGTGCTTTGATTCCAAAGCTGATTGAGCACCTGGGGCACAGAGCTGTTCTGAGAAGCCAGTGAGGCGGGCAACGGGGGTCGGCCAGCGTCTGGGTCCCAGTGCTCTTGTCCTGGCTCGAGAGACCCTGTCTGGTGGCTGAGGGACAGGGCTTGCTGACCTCTGCTGCCTCTCCTCAGGGAAGGGAGACCTGATTGGCTGTGAGCTGCCCCGGCGCGAGCAGGTGGTCAAGGCCAACGCCGATGTGAAGGGGCTGACGTACTGCGTCCTACAGTGTCTGCAGCTGGCCGGGCTGCATGAGAGCCTGGCGCTGTACCCCGAGTTTGCCCCCCGCTTCAGCCGGGGCCTCCGAGGGGAGCTCAGCTACAACCTGGGTGCTGGTGGAGGCCCCGCCGAGGTGAGGGCACTGGGTCTGTGCGTGGGAAGGCTGGAGGCCTGGGGAGCTGGACAGAGAGGGGGTCCGTGGGGGTGCTGTGTGAGCGCATGGCCTGGTGTGAGCACCACATGCATGATGGTTCCACACTCTCCTACCCCTTCACTCCCTCACACTGGCCCTTAGAGCCCAGCCCCACCCTGCTCAGGCGCCTCTCCTGCTCTCCCTGGCCCAGGAGAGTCTGACCAAGTCCACTGGTACCACACAAGCAGGCTGTGAGGCTGCAGGGGAGGGGCGGTGCCCTCAGGTCAGGCCACCTCTGCAGAGAGCCCTGCCATGACCCAGGACCACTCTGAGGGGCTTTTGAATTTCCCTGCCTTATGTTACTAATTCCAAACCAGTTTTCAGTACCAGGTCCTCCTGGATGGTTCAGTGAGCCTCAGAGACCAAGCAGAGGACAGTGCGTCCGTGCTTGGCTAGAATTTACAGTGAATGCCTCCAGGGCTGGTGGCTTTGTGATGGCAGCAGGAAAACACCCCTTCCCCCTGCTGAGTCTCCTCCTCAGGAGGTAGGAGACACCCACATCCTGTTTTAACAAAAACAGCTCCTGGCTTCTAGGACCCTGAGACCTGGCGAGGGGAAGTGAGTGGGACACTGGGGGTGCTATCCATGCCAACTCCCTGCCCCTGCTCTCCCCAGGCGGACACCAGCTCTCTGAGTGGGGACAACACCCTCATGTCTACCCTGGAGGAGAAGGAGACAGACGGAGAGCAGGGCCCCGCAGCCTCCCCAGCCCCAGCTGATGAGCCCTCCAGCCCCCTGCTGTCCCCTGGCTGCACCTCCTCGTCCTCGGCTGCCAAGCTCCTATCGCCACGGCGAACTGTGCCCCGGCCCCGGCTGGGTGGCAGAGGACGGCCAGGCAGGGCAGGGGCTTTGCAGGCTGAGGCCGGCCCCTCAACTCACCCTCGGAGCTTGGAGGGGCTGCGGCTGCCCCCCGTGCCATGGAATGTGCCCCCAGATCTGAGCCCCAGGTGAGCGAGCTCTGGGCCACTGAAGTCAGACAGAGATAGTGACAGGGCTGGGTCCCCAGCCAGGCACACTGCTGCTCTGGATGCCCATCCTTCCATCCTAACCCCTCCCAGCCTCCTCCAGGAAGCCCCCCTTGACTAACCCACCACCTCACTGCCCCCACTCCACCATTCAGGCCATGCACTTCTCAGAACTCTTGCTGTTTCACATCGCTCAAGCTTGAAACTGCAAGCTTCTAGGGAAAAAGGGACCACATGTTCCACCCTTCTCTTGGGACCCCAAGCCCCTGGCCTAACTCCAGCTCTTGTAGCTTCTGTGGACAGTGGGGCATCTGGTCCTGTAAAACAAAACACTGCAGTGGCTGTCTATTGACTGATTTGTTGTCCTGGCACCTGTGTCCACAGGGTCGTAGATGGCATTGAGGACGGCTGTGGCTCCGACCAGCCCAAGTTCTCCTTCCGTGTGAGGCAGTCTGGCCCAGAATGTAGCAGCAGCCCTTCTCCTGGACCAGGTACTGGGGCTCAGTCCGTGGGGAGGCTGGCAGAGCAGGCCCCTTGCCCTGGGGGCCTCTGAGAAACTGGCAGGGCACAGACTTTGGATGCCTTCTTGCCCTCACCCATCTGCATGGTTTGGGCGGGGGAGTTTGGTGGGTAAGACCAGCACCTTGGTGTTGGAAGATAGCCGAAATGGAGCTTAGATCTCTGCTGCGAGCTTCCCATCTGTAAAAAGGCGGTTGTGCATGTTAAATGAGATAATGTTGCTAAAACCCTTAGAAGTGTTTGGCCCACTGAGGGAAATACAGGGCTGGGGAAGCAGAGTTGAAAATGGCCCCTGTGCAGGCCCAGCAGCCCTGAGAGTGTCCCCTAGCCTGGAAGACAGAACAAGAGACAGTCACGAAGGCAGCTTCCCGAGGGGGAAGCACGAGTCAGTGTGCCCGAGGCCCCCTGGCGGTTTGCACTGGATTCAGCAGCTCGGGCAAGGTTACAAATGGCTGTTCCTGGCGGCAGGCCTGGCCAGACCAGTGTGGTCTGTGCTAACTAGGCAGAGGCCTGGACCCCATGCTGTCTTCATTTACCAGCCCTGGCTGGTAACCCCATCCTACTGTCCACAGAGAACGGCCTGCTCACTGTCCCCCTTGGGCCCAGCGAGGTGAGGAACACAGACACGCTGGACAAGCTTCGGCAGGCGGTGGGTGAGGGGCAAGGTGGGGTGTGCCTGCTGTTTGGAGGTCCCGACTCCACTCTGACCATGCCCACCCTCCCCGCAGGTGATGGAGCTGTCTGAGCAGGTGCTGCAGATGCGGGAGGGACTGCAGTCCCTTCGCCAGGCTGTGCAGCTGGTCCTGGCACCCCAAGGGGAGGGCCCCTGCCCTCGGGCATCAGGAGAGGGGCCCTGCCCGGCTGGTGCCTCTGGGCTACTGCAGCCCCTGTGTGTGGACACTGGGACATCATCCTACTGCCTACAGCCCTCAGCTGGCTCTGTCTTGAGTGGGACCTGGCCCCACCCTCGTCCAGGGCCCCCTCCCCTCGTGGCTCCCTGGCCCTGGGGCCCCCCTGCATCTCAGAGCTCACCATGGCCTCGAGCCACTGCTTTTTGGACCTCCACCTCTGACTCAGAGCCCCCAGGCTCAGGAGAACTCTGCCCTGAGCCCAGCACCCCTGGCTCGCCGCCTCCTGAGGAAGGGGCTAGGACTGGGCCCCCGGAGCCAGTGAACCAGGCTGAGGCTGCCAGCACCGGAGAGCCCCCACCAGCTTCGGGGGGCCACGCCTTGCCCTGGGAGCCCCATAGCCTGGAGATGGTGCTTATTGGCTGCCACGGCTCTGGCACGGTCCAGTGGACCCAGGAAGAAGGCACAGGGGTCTGACCACCAGCCCCAGAACTCAAGTGTTGCCAGACCTGCTTCTGTCTGCTGCTCTGCCCAAGCTCAGGGTGGAGGGGACAGCCAACCCCCGCCCCCCGGGGACTCCATGCTGCCTGCGGACTCAGGGCAGGGAGCTAGACAGCAAACGAAGGCCTGGCCCCGGACTCACAGGGTGGGCGAGAACTTCAGGGGCAGGCCCCAGACCAGGAATCTCTGGGCTCCTACTTCTGGGGCCCTTGCGCCCTTCAGCCTGCTCCTCTGACCACCTTGTCTCCCTATGCAGGCTGGGGGACAGTGGCCCGAGGCCCAGGAGGGGTTCTGCTATCCCCTCTGCATGTGCCCCTGCCTCAACTGTCACCATGTTTTTTATATTAAAAAGAGAATAAAGAAACTACTTTGGAACTCAATGCTTTGTATTTACAAAAGAAAAAAAATAAAAGAAAAGTCTAAAGCTATTAATAATCAGCTGAAGACAGGGCGCAAAGGCGGGAATCTGGGGGAAAGGGCGGGATCGTCTGCAGAGAGAAGGAGAGGGGCTCTGGCACTAAGGAAGCTGAGGGTCCCAGCCTCAGGTGCTTCCCCAGGGCCAGCCCCACCCTCCTGCAGAGGCTCAGATCGAGGGGCCAGGAGCCAAGTCTCCTGCTGCCCACTCTGGTTTCTCCAGGAGCCTGAGTCCCCAGCTCCAGGGGCTGGGATGGCAGGGGACACTGAGGCCAGAGAGAGCCCATGGGTCCCACTGCCACTCCTCACTGTGGCGTGATCTTGGCAGCCTCGGCCCGAATGAGGGCAATGAGGTCCTGGTTGATAAGGAAGACAAATCGCAGGCTGGCAATCTGTGGGCAGGAGAGAAGGGTAGCTGAGGACGGAGGTGAGACTGGGGCTAGAGCCAGGCCTACACTCTGGCTCACTACACCCCAGTGTTCACCCTGGCCTTTCCACCTCCGCCCAGCTCACCTCCACTACTGAGTTGTTGCTAAGGCGCCACTTGGAGCCACACAGCACAGGCCGTCCATCAATGTAGATGGGCCGCCGGCCCTCGTTGGCAATGAAGAAATCACCATTGTTTTTCAGCTTGATGACACCTATGGGAAAAGAAAGGAAAGAGGTATGATGGGATGAGGGAAGCTAGAAGAGGGTCTGAAACCCACATGTACCCTCTGCTTCCTGGGGACACTACAAGGCACCCAGCACCCCCAAGTTAGGGATCTTAAAATGCCAGCTCCTCAGCCCCTGTCTGTCCCTAAGGTTCCCATGGAGACCAAGTCCTCAGGCTGGAGGGACTTCCTCATGCTGCTTCCTGCAGATACCTTGCTTCCGGGAGATCTTCCAGGCAGGACCCTCCAGGGACAGGTCCACATCAATCTGGTTGTCCTTGGTCGCTCTGCCGAGGGTGATCTGGGAAAACGGGGCAGGTGAGGGCTGGGCTCTGAGGAAAGGGAGGGGTCCACACAGGCCAGGGAAAGATGAGAAATCAGGACCAGACACAGGAAGGGCTGTGAGGGGAAGATCAACAGAGGAGGGGAACCTCGCAAGAGGGTGTGGGGATGGGGATGGGGATGAGGACAGGGAGGGCCGGGCTGGCCTCACCTCTCTAGAGCGCATCAGGTACCGCACCATGCGGCCCCGCAGCACTGCCAGGGTCTGGTTGTCGAAGTCTGGGGAGCTCATGCCTGGGGGAGAGCAGCTCATGTCAGAGAAGAGCCCCACTGTGGAAGGCAGGCAACCAGGCCAGGATCCACTGAGGGAAAGGAGCTACAGGTCCAGGAGAGGAGGGTGAGCCCAGCCCAGCAACCAGGGTGCTCAAGGTGTGGCAAAGGGAGTGGGAGCACGAGCGTGCTGGCCCCGTGGCCTCCTCACCTGTGATGCTGTCTACTAGCACCTGCCACTTATGCAGTTCCTGTTCCAGCTGCCGAATCTCCCGTTTCTGGCGCCGGTCAGCCACAGTCAGCTCTGGGGTGAGGTGGGGTGTAAGTTCTGAGGTCACCGGCACCTTGTACTGTTCCTTGCTGTTCCAGCAGGAGCTCCCACCCTCTCACCATTCCCACCAGGGCGCACTCACCATGTTCCAGGACTTCATCTCGCATGTCCCTGGGGGGCGAGAGAAGGATGAATCAGGCTCCAATTCAAGCTTACCTGCCGTCACTATTAGGTACTATTTGGCTCTCTAGGGTCCCTCAGCCCAGTGGTCCTGTAGGCTGCTCCTCTGGTCCCAGCCGAGCCTCCTTTCCTGGGGTGGGGGTCACATACAAAGGGTGGAGGTTGGGGTTAAGGGGGGCTCAGCAGGGAGACCAGGCACCAACAGCTGCAGCTGGGACTCCAGGCGGAGTATGGGCTGGGCTCTGCAGTGAGGGGCAGGGCTGGGCAGCGCGGGGAGCTCTGTCCTTGGGAGACACATGGCTCTGTGTGCCCTGCCTGTGACCCCAGCCACTCACTTGAGCTTACTGTCATCAATCAAGTCTTCTGCGTCGGAAAAGTTCAGCACTTGGTCCCCCTTGGGCAGCGGCTGCACTGAACGAAGGACGGAGGGAGGGTGAGTGCCAATGCTCCCACTCACCCCCGAGATGCTGAGCAGACAATTGAACTAACAGGACAAACTGTAGAGAGAGCCCTGTGGGCTTGGCCTCATGCTGAAATCAACAAAACTGAACCTGATGCAGGTAACGGAGGACGTGCAGATCAGACTGCATGCTACTTTGGCACAAAGCGGTCCCAGGGTTAGCTGGGGGCAGAGGTGGTTCTAGAAAGTGAAGGGAATTAGAGCCGCCCTTTGTGTGCTCTTTCAGTGTTCGGAGAGTTCCCACTTACAAAACCTGCTCTATGCAGGGAAGGTACTACTACTAGCTGCACATTACACATGAGCAAACAGAGGAGGGCAGGTTAAGCTGTGTGACTAGAATTCAGGACAGAATCAGGAATCAAGGCTGCTTTCCTGATTCCAAGTCTAAACTGCTCGTCTACTACATCACATGCTCCCAAACATTTCCTGCCACAAGGAGCTGAGAGGCACAGGACAGTCAAGTCTCATTCAGGAGGTGTCAGAAGGCAGCCTTAAGTGAGTGTTTTCAAACTGTGGGTCATGACACTTTAATGGGCCATGACACGTTAATGGGCCATGAAATGCTTTTTCTTTCCAAAAAATAAAAAGAAATAGAAGACAATCAAATGTAGTCAGATACAGACTATACCCCTATTATCTGGATAATAGGATAAATAAATAGGATAAATACTGACTTTTTTTAATGAAAAAGTTTTATGAAAGTTTTTCAGTTCTTTGTGGTCAAAATGTAGAAAGGGCTAGGGTCCCCAAATCTGAGAACTCCTGCTTCACGGTCAGTGGTTCCTAGGATTGCAGTGTCTGCTCAGCAAGAGCTCCACTAGCTAGTGAGACTGCTGGCTGAGGAGCCTGACAACCCCTGAGGTGTTGTCACTGCTGGGGAAGCAACGGGGGGCTGCAAAGGAGCCACAAATGCTCCATCACTACCAACCCCCCCAACCCCTGTCACCTTAGTCCAGACTGGGTGGGAGATAGGGCTGGGGCAGTCACCCCGCCACAGCTGCCTGAATCCTACCAACTCACTTGAAAATCCAGCTGACTTGAAAAGTGAGCAGTGTATGCTTTCTGTTGCTAGAGACTCCAAGCACCAAATAGCCAAGAACTCAAATACCCACACAACATGACTCTTGAAAAGTTATCCCTTAACGTTAGCAAATTTACACAAGACAACTTTCAAAAGCATGACAAAGGAGCTAGCTGTAGCAGCAAAAATAAACTTTATCCAGTGTCTGCTCTGTGGGAGGTCAGTGACTGCTGAGCCTAGGTGAGCAGCAGAGATCTGGAAGCTGCAGGAATAAAGGAGGAGGCCCACTGCACATTAAATTCAGAGATCCTCAGGAAGAGAAGATGAGGCCTCTCCTGATAAGATTTCCTAAAATCCTCTGGTAGGCATCTTCTATTATGCAGAAGCTACAAGACGTAGCTAGTAAGGTGAAGGACAGAACTGCGGCTTGACTTTCAGATCAGTGTGAACCAGTACACGGCAGCCAGCATGCAGCAGTTTAAGAAGCGAGGGGAAGGTGTGCTCAGACTGTGCAGGGCTGACCCTGAACCTTAAATCTAACCAAAGAGTTTCGTCCCTCTAATCGGACCACCTTCCTAATACTTATTAGGAGAGTGAGCGTCTTGTTGGCAAGGGAAGAGAGGAATCAGAGAGCATTCTGACCCCTGAGAAAGAAGACGACAGGCGGCCTGGGTGTGAAGCCCCTTCGGGGATTTCTGAGTGGCCTGAAGGCAGCCCCACAGCCTGGTGGGAGGAAAGTGGAGAGAGGGAAGGGACAGAAAGGTTTAGAGAAAATGGTCTTTATCTCCAGGGAGGGAAAGGGGGGTGGGTGAGCACTGAAAGAAACTTTTGCATTTTACTCAGATTTGAAAGTTACTCATGAAGAAAATATTAATGTGTTATTTATGTAATTGTAAAACATGTCAAAAGAGCAAAATAATTGAGAAGTGGGAGACCCTGCTGTTCGGTCTTTCTGCTTAGGATTCTAGGCAATTCTGGCTACCTTTACCATCAAGACCATTCCAGCCATGCTTCCTCCCTCTGGAAAGAAATAGTTTTTGCTGCAAAAAGAGGTGAACAAGATCCTGGGAACCACTGAGGATTTGTTACAAGGCACTTGAGGGCGGCTGCATCCAGACCCGTCCACACTCATACATACGCACCTCCACTCTGCCAGATCCTGGGCCCAGTTACCTGTCTGGTCCTCCAAAAGGTAATACTGTTTCATGAGCTGCCAGTGGGCCTGCAGAGCCTTGGCAGTACGGGCCAGGTAGAAGGCATCGGGGTGTCTGTGCAGCAGGTCCTGAAAGGTCTCCAAGGTGGGCTGGCTGGTCTGGAGGGCAAGGAGTATGCTCCAGGCGTCTGGGTTTCCTTGTCCTGCCCCTGCCTCACCATCTGTGCCCCCTGTCCCAATCCCCATCAGGAGATGGAAAAAGTGACAGCTCCTGCCAGCCAGGAAGCCAGGCTTGGCTCTCCCAGAGGACCCCGTCCACAGAGGACCCGCAGGTGTACATGTGTCTGCAGGGTAAGTCCCCAGGCAGTACAGCCTCCCCACAGTCAGTTTTCCAGGTGACTGGTTCCCGCCCTAACCCCATAGCCTTACTAGCCCTCAGCCTTACCGATCCCACTTTGCTCAGCAGCTGTTCCTCAGCCTTGCTAAACAGTGCCTTGCTCTGGATGGCTGCAACGGCCTCTGGGTGCAGCTGTCTCATGGCCTGGCAGGCCAGCCTGGGAAGAAGGGAGACAGAGGGCAGGGCAGGGTTAAGACAAGGTGTCAAGCAATCTGGGGTTCCTACTTCTCCAAAGCCTGCAGGCCTTTGCGATCCACAACTCGAAGTTCCAGGCCCTCAACAGAAGAGCCCGAGGGTGATGAGCAAGGCACCGGTGGCCTCGTGCAGTTCAGAAAACTCAGGTTCCTGTGCTCAACCCTGCGAAGAGACTCAAGGGCACAGCTGCCTAGAGGCCAGTCCTGAGGGCGATCCTAAGACCAGCTGCTGCTCCCGTCCCAAGACCTTCCCTCTTACTTGGCTAAAGCAGCCACCCACTAGACACCTCCTCTTCCCCAAACCACACCTTGCCCATTTCCTGGTGTATCAGGGCTGTGGCTATTGCTTAAGTGGCACCAGTGTCTGTGGAGTAGAAGATGGATGTTAAGCATTATTCTGACAACGTCAAGTGCCTGAGAAGGAAGTATGTGTGTTATGTGTGTGCACAGGTGTATCTGGAACTTGGACTGCTGGAACTGGAAGGGACCCTGGTGTTCTTCTGTTCCAACTACTTCTTATGAAGGAAGAAACTGTGGGAGGTCAGTGTGGGAAAGCTGGAAGGGGACCGCCCTAAACCACCATGCATACAGCAGTAGGACTGGGCTCCCAGCACTCATTCTGGTGTTTCCTCTCATGCTACTTCCTCGGCTTCCAGGTCCTTGTTCTCGGCGTCCAGCCTAGACTAGCAAGGTTGATAGCAGGAAGAAGCTTCTCCCCAAAGCCTGGGAGGTCTTGGTATCATCTCAGAGAATAACAGGTCCCAGGGAGCCCTGCCTCCCTGCCCCCTCCCTGTATAATTCTTTCTGTTCAAGAACCAAATCCTGGTGTCCCCAGTACCGCGCCACCACTGGGGCCAGCTCACTCACTTTGAGATGACAGGATCGTAGAGCAGGGCGTACCAGCGCTCCTGGACTTCCCGCAGGGTGAAGCGGCAGCTGAACTTCACACCCAGGTGGACAGATGTCAGGTCATTGGTCTGCAAGACCCCAGAGCAGTTTGTTCCAGCCGTGGAACTGGGAAATACCCTCCCGTGCCACCTCCAGACATTGCCAGGCTAGCTGGGGGCTGAGAATTGGAAGCGGTGGGGAAAAGGGAAACAAGACCGCTGTGGCAGGAAACACTACCTGCAACACGGCATTGATGAGCAGGAGGTCGTCTGCAGGCTTCCAGCGGCCCAGATCCTTGGTCACCTGGAGTGGCTGCTTGCTCTTCTTCACACGCTTGGTAAGTCCAGGGGCTGGGGCGGGGCTGGGCGGCACAGGTGTGCTGGGGGTTTTGGACACCTGGACAGAGGGTAGGAGCAGAGTGAACTCAGAGCTGGCACTGGGGCAGCTGGGGCTTCAGACCCAGAGTTTTGTACAGCCCCATCCAACAAGCCACAGGCAGGGAGCTCGGCTTTCTAATACCAGCTCCTCCCCATTCCCGCCCCCATCAAAGTACTTCTACATAGCCCTAGACCATATGGGGTCTTCTTTTTGCTGATGGTGCCCCCAACCCCAGAGTAGAGGGTGGGTGGGGAGGATACCAGGAAAACACTCTTGCTGGTACAGTGTCTGGGGCCAGAGCAATGCCACCTGGGGGTTATTTTTACACCCAGCAATGCTGGGAACAGGCTGTCTGCTCCCAGAATAGATGCACGCTCTATGCCTCCCACACAGAATGTGATACAGGATGTGCTGACAGGGTGGTGGTGGGGGGGGCGGGGTGCAGCAAGAAAGGGGGAGTAGTGAGATGGACTCCCAGGAGGGAGGCATCTGAGGTTGGGGCTGGGGCGGCTTGATCCTCTCACAAGCCTCCTCTGCAGGGCTCTTGCCAGCTGGCGAAGGTTGTGGGGAAACACGAAATCTGGCACTGGCCCCCACCCCCTGCTACTCCCCATTCTCCCAATCCTCACCTTCTTCTTCTCACTGGAGGAAGGTTCGCTCCCCGAACAGCGCCCTGGTTCCACCGCACTGGCCCCCTTCGCCCGGGTAGAGGACTTAGCCAGGCTGCTCTCCACCAGCTCATCATCGAACTTCTTCCTCTTTATGAACCTGTGAAGAGTCCTACTCAGAGAGCTCTCCATGCCCCACCCCCAGTACCCACTCACCCACACCCAGCCTCCAAAGGAGAGCAGGTTCCCAGTAGTCAGAGTGCTCACTGCTCTGGCTCAGTGGTCGAGGAATGGAACCTCTATGCTCCAACCCTCTGAGATGACTGGGTACCACACTACAAAGACTTCACATCAAAGACCTAAGATCTCCCTCCCTTGCTCAGTCTCAAGGAGAGGGACTTAGTAAGGTCAGGAAAAGCACAAGCCTCTGCCAACGCAGGCCCCAGAGGGATTCAGGGGTGAAGGCATGCTGCAGTCTCAGTTTCTGGCCCTTCAAACCCTTATTACCTGGAGGAGCTTCTCCGTTTAGGGATGGTCCCCAAGGCCTGAGAGGAGGCCCGCTTCTGTCCTGCCAGTGACTCCTCATCCTCTGAGCGGCTGGCAGTGCCCGATGCCATCAGGGATGAATCTAGCAGCCCCTGAGAATCTAGAAAAAAGAGACGTGGTGAAGTCAGACCTCCTAACTGCCAAGCAGAGCCTTGAACCTCTGCACAGGGGACCCCTCCTCAGCCCCCCTTTTCCCAGCCAGCCCTCTTGGTCCCTCCCCTGCCTCCTTGACATTTGAGGTTTTAAGGTGGGAGTTCCTTGGCCATCCAGTCCCATCTGGGCCCAGACCTTCCACGCTGGGCAGTTCTCCCGGTGCCACGTGTCATGTCGTGCAGCACATGGTGCTCAGGTCAGACTGGTGATGCCGACACACCGGGCTCTGGGCATAACTGCTCCCTCTGCCATCAAAATGCAGCCATGCCAAAGAGCAGCAGCTCAACAGAAAGTCAGTCAATTGTGGCCTCTGCCGAGAGGTACGTGGGTGGTGCTGGCCCAGGGGGAGGTGGCAATGCCCAGCCAGGACCGAAAGACACACGTGCCAGGCACAGGGTGGAATCAGCAGATGCTTGGCGCCTGAGCGTTTGGGGAGCTGGCCCGGCCTCATACTACCTTTGTCCATCCTCTTACAGTCCCAAAGCCACTGGTTCCAAACCACAGGGCTAGAAGGAAAGGTCCCACAGGCTCATCCAAGGATTCTGACCAGGTGAGCTTAGAGGCCGAGAGGAGATTCTGCAAAGGAGAAATGAGGCTCCCTGAGACTCAGATTTCCATCTGGCCAGCCTCACCTCCTTATACTGGAACTGGTCCTCAGCATCCCATAAGCTAGTGAAAACACCAGAAGAGACACAATATATTCTGCCAGTATGAGCCTAATAAACCAGTAGCCTTTTGAAGGTCACCAACATCTCCGAGACAGTGACAAAAGCTAGGGACCCTAGAAAAATGTACACATTTCAGGAAGTTCACAAACCCCTCTAATTCTACCAACAGCCCCTAGGTGAAGGGCCTTGACTCCAAACTAGCAAGAAACAAAGGATTCTTGGCTCACTTTTGCTTTGTCAGCTGCCCACTCAGCTCCCCTCCCAGTCCCAAGCACGGGAAAGGAAAAGGAGACAGGACTCTAACCAGTCTACCTCACTTTTTTTTTCTTTCATTTTAAGCTTTGGCTAAAGATTTAGAGGGCGTTACTTCGTGGAAGAAAAAAACGCGGCTTGGTCACTGAGCAAACATCAACCGCCATCTGGGGGACCCTCGCCTAAGACCGGAGAACTCAGGTACTGGGGACTTTCGGGTCCCGCCCACCCTGATCAGGGACGCTTCTGACCAGGAGGCGCTCCAGCCCTACTCCCAGGTGCGCTCGTCAAACCGCTCCATCGTATACGGTTGGGAATTTAGCCACTTGGTGAAAGGGTGAAGAGCCCGATGCCGCCGTTACACTGAGGCAGGGTCTGCGCCCCCTTCCTTTTCTGGCCCTCTGCCCTTCGTTCTCCCCGCCAAATGCACACCCAAAGTAGGGAATTTGTCCGGGTCTATTTCAGGGGCTCGGGCTAGAAGTGGTGAAGTCGGTCCTGCAACTCAAAAGTAAAGCACCGAATGAACCCCGATGCTCTCGGAGCTTTAAGCCCCAGGGGCCGGTGGCGAGGGAAGGGAGTCAACTCCCAGCCTAAGTCTCACCCCACCTTTGGCATGCTACCTTTGCGCATGCGTAACTTCTCGGACCAGATTCTGGCCCGGTCCGGCCCACGCATGCGCAGATTTTCGGGGCGCTACCGGGGCGGGGCCCCAAACCTGGGGGGGATCGTACCCAGCAGCACTCTGGGAAACCCCATTTCACCCCCAACTCTCCTCATCAATCATCAAAGGCGAACCGCGAAGTCTCACCATTCCTAGGCTGCCAGTTCCAACACTTTCTCCGCGGCGACGGCAGCAGCCGCAGGGCCAAGGCCGGCTTCCGTGAGGTTCGTCTACTTCCGGGTCTACGAACTAAGGGTTGAGCAATCCCTTCCGGCTCGCCCTGACTGCGTAAGTAAAGGGGCGTGGCTATGGTAGCGAAGAAATTCCTGCTTTGTTATCAGCGGAAATTAAAATCTTTCCTAATTGAAACAACTTATTGGGAGACAGCGGGTATTATAGGCCCCAAGTTGGAGGAAGTGATTAAAGGGAAAGGCAAGACTTGGAGCTGGATAGCCTGAGCGGCTAGGTGAGGCAACCCTGGGAGGGGGTGGACCGGAAGGTGGGGCCCCATAGCTACTAGATATTGGCTTCCGAATCTTGCCGCCTTGCTAGAGATCTAGGACTCTGATAGTTTCCCAGGATCACTTATAGATTGTTTGATTCCACCAGCAGTTTTAGAGAAACTGCTCTGTGGCAGGCCTGTGCTAGGCACAATATAGGGAGACGGTGTTGAGGAGCTCTGTCCAGCCGGAGAGATGTGGCGTATAGAAGGGGCCGGGAGGTTGATGTCTAACGAAAGGATGGAGAGTTGTGGACCGCGGTTCTGGAGAGCAGAGGCCAAAAAGAGAGAGTAGAGGCCCTGGGAGAAGGAGTGCCCTTCCAGTCAGCCCCACCACGCCTGGATTGCTGGAGGGAGCTGTGGGTCCCGGGAGGTAAGAGGACCCGCGGAAGCACCTTCAGAGGGGAAGCCCTGAAGATGGGAGGACAAGCCTACAGGATAAGTTGGGCGTTTGAGGGTGTGAGAGCTGCCTTAAGAAACCAGAAAGACTGTCCTCTAAAAGAGTTTCTATTTGTTTTATGCTTCCTTGGAGGGACATAGAAATGTAATAGCTCTAAAGAAACATACTGCAGCTCAGAATAAGAAAGGTACAATTCCAAAGCTGTCTAGCAGCTAGGTTGGACCCCCTCAGTGGAGGTGTCAAGTACTCCTCACCTGAACATTGCCAGGTGACTCAAGTGTTAGATGGGAGGCTGGCCCTTCCGGCCCTGAGAGTGTATGATAGCCTTCATACATTCTCAGGGGACAAGAGTCCCTTGTTCATTTGTGATCTTGCTTAATGAGCATTAACATACTGTATTTCCCCTAAAAGATTGTATTTTCTGATACAAGATGTGATGGACTATACTAAATATAGCATAGTAGCTATACTAGGTGAGAATTATCATAGAGGTCTCTAAGGAGATGAGGGTTGAATTGAGAGTTGACATTTAATAAGGGATCAGTTGGGCAAAGAGCTGGGGTAAGATGGCCTAGTCAGCAGGGACAGTATAGCTCCAAAGCAGAAAAGAATTTGGAGAGACTGAGGAACAGGACGGAGATTAGTGTGGCTGGAGCAGGATGATCAAGAAAAAGAGAGAAGGAGGGGATGAGAACAGAGAGGTCATCAGGGCAGATCATTTTAGGCCTTGTGGTTCATGCTATGAATTTTGGCCTTTATTCTTTTTTAAAAAAAAACTATATTAACTATATTTATTTACTTTTGGCTGTACCACACGGCATGGAGAATCTTAGTTCCCTGACCAGGGATCAAACCTGTGCCCCCTGCAGTGGTAGCATGGAGTCTTAACCACTGGACCACTAAGGAATCCCCTTGGCCTTTATTTTTATTGCATTAGAAAGTCCTTAAAAGATGCAAAAGCATCCATTCTGTGATATGATTTACTTTTATAAATGATCCATTTGCCTGCTTGTGGAGAACGGATTGTAGGGAAGTAGGAGGAAGCAGAGAGAACAGAGAAGAGGCTACTGTATCGATCCAAATGAGAGGTAAACTCAGGTGGTTTAGCTGGGTTGTGGGGGCAGTGAAAATGGACAGACATAGTAACTTTGATGTGTATTTTGGAATTAGAACCACAGAGACTTGCTGATGGATTGGATTTGGGATATGAGGGAAAAGGAAAAATCAAAGATAAGATCTAGATTTTTGGCCTGAGTTAACTGGATGGATACTAGACAACCCCTCCCACCCTGTCTTTAGAATATATCCAGAATCTGGTTGTATCTCACCAGCTTCTCAACTATTTCCTGATCCAAATCCCCTGGATTCATCATCTCCCACTTGGACTATTGCAAGAGTTCCCTAACTAGTCTCCCAGTTTTCATCTTTACCACCTCTCCTCCAGTTTCTTTATAGCAGCTAGAGTATTCCCATCAAAATAGAAATCCATGCATGTCAAGCCTCTGCTCAAAATTCTCCATCATCCTTGGAATAAAAGCTTATGGTCTAGCCATAAGCTTAAGTGTTGGGGATTCCAACATTTAAGGTAAGGTAGAGGAGGAACCCATTCCCATCCATTTTAGTTCACGATTACTAAGATATCCATGTTCAATCTTGCCATCTCCTGCTTGACCATGTCCAATTTACTTGATTCATGGAACTAACATTCCAGGTTCCTATGCAACAGTGTTCTTTACAGCTTTGGTCTACGTTCACCACCAGACACATAGGCAACTGAGCATCGTTTCTGCTTTGGCCCATCTGCTTAATTCTTCCTGGAGCTGCTAGTAACTGCCTTCTGCTCTTCCCCAGTAGCATATTGGACGCTGTCCGACCTGGGCGGGGGTGGGTGCTCATCTTCCAGTGTCATATCTTTTTGCCTTTTCATACGGTTTTTCTGGTTCTTCTGGCAAGAATACTGGAGTGGGTTGCCATTTCCTTCTCCGGTGGACCACGTTTTGTCAGAACTCTTCACTATGACTTGTCTGTCTTGGGTAGTTCTGCAAAGCATATCTCATAGCTTCATTGAGTTATACAAGTCCCTTCACTATGACAAGGCTGTGATGAAGGGGCCTCAGATATGCAGATGATACCACTCTAATGGCAGAAAGTGAAGAGTGAGTAAAGAGCCCTTTGATGAGGGTCAAAGAGGAGAGTGAAAAAGCTGGCTTGAAACTCATTCAAAACTCTAATAAGATCATGGCATCTGGTCCCATCACTTTATGGCAACTAGAAGGGGAAAAAGTGGAAGCAGTGCCAAATTTTATTTTCATGGGCTCCAGAATCACTGTAGATGGTGACTGCAGCCATGGTTTTAAAAGATGCTTGCCCCTTGGAAGGAAAACTATGACAAACCTAGACAGCATATTAAAAAGCAGAGACATCACTTTGCTAGCAAGGGTCTCTATAGACAGAGCTATGGTTCTTCCAGTAGTAATGTACGCATGTGAGAATTGCACCATGAAGAAGGCTGAGCACCGAAGAATTGATACTTTCAAATTGTGGTGCTGGAGAAGACTCTTGAGAGTCTCATGGACAGCAAGGAGATCAAACCAGTCAATTCTAAAGGAAATCAACCCTGAATATTCATTGGAAAGACTGATACTGAGGCTGAAGCTCCAATACTTTGGCCACTTGATGCAAAGAGCTGACTCACTGGAATAGACCCTGATTCTGGGAAAGATTAAAGACAAAAGGAGAAGAGGGCGGCAGAAGTTGAGATGGTTTGATAGTATCACCCACTGAATGGACGTGAATTTGAGCAAACTCCACGAGATAGTGAAGGACAGGGAAGCCTGGCATGCTGTAGTTCACTGGGTCAAAAAGAGTCGAACACAACTGAGTGACTGAACAACAAGAGAAGGAGCCAGCAAAGGAACAAAAAGAAGAGTGTGCATAAAAAGAAAAGTTAGCAGTAGCACCCGTCATCCAACCTCCAGTTAGCTGT